GCGTTTTCGCTATCTGTTATTCACTAGCATGGGTGGCTTTTGCAGAAGTCCAGAAGTAGACATGCGTGAAGACTGATGATTCAATACATACGTGTACTATTTGCTGCAGTGCTCCATTATTACCGTCAATTGCATTAGCATACAAATGCTCTGGATTTGTAGTAGGGTGACTGGTTTATTGTCGTTATACTGGCATAGCTACAACTATCGAAGCCGAGTAAAAGGAGTAGTAAACTGGCTGCACATGGACTTTTATGGGGCTTATCGAAGCAGGAAGTAACCTTGTACAAGTGGACACCATCCATTGTTGCCAGAAGACGCGATGGCATCCAGTTGCAGCAAATATGTGACGGGTTGCTTACACGGTATGCATGTCGAAATCCACGAAGTCATCGGTACATTCGCTCGACCTTCGAACGACACAACTCAGTATCTCTACAAACCACGTCGAATGTAGAGAAATGATATCATACTTAGATGGAGTAAATTACGGCGACACAATCAAATCCCCATTAGTTGGTGATGGTTGGTGCTAGTTGAGTTTTTAATTGGGGATGGATTACACGTCTACGCAAAACAGTTGGGGGATGTAACAAGAGCCTATTATCAGCGGAAAATCACATTCAACTAAATCATCTCCGACTTCGTGCCCATCCATTTGAAGGCCTTGACAATAGCGCTCTTTACCTGCAGCTCCCTTGCCGGTGGGTGCTCAGTGTGGTCGACGAGTGGCTCGATGCGCAGGCGACGACCGTCGTCTGGAGTGGAGGCCGTCACATTAAGCGTCAGGAGGACGATCAGAGCGACGCCCTTGAGAAAACTAGCGAAGATCATTCCGCGTCGAAGAACCGAAGCAAGCTGCTTGGTGGTGAACAGGAAAATGATAGAATGAGCAATGGGCGGCGCAGTCACTTGAGGCACGTGATCCCAGTGGAGATCAACCTCCTGGACAAGAGAATTCGAAGGATGTGGCGCTGTCTTGTGGATGGTAACTATAGCCGCGGATTACGGAGATTACTCTGCTCGTGCTTTACAACACACCAACACGTTTCAGCCAAGGGAATCCGCAGACCAATCTGTACACACTGACACACTGCAACACAGCCTCCTGGGCTGTAGTGTTGTATATACACCACTACAGCCCAGGATGCTGTGAAGTGCACTGCTGTTTCGCTCACAGTTTCATCGGAAGCGTTAACCGTTGATTGAACGGCGTTCAGGATCTTCTCGAGGATCGTATATGTATCCACGACTGGGATTCCATCTGGTATCTCGATGACGACACTAATACAATCATCGCCACCCCGGCAATCTTCGCCACCCCGGCTAGTACCTTTTGGTAATACGTATGGGTTCTTACCTAAAAGAGGCACCCCTTTTCTCTAACGTGCATCAAGTGCATGCCGTGAACAATGGCAGCGATGGATGCAGCTTCGAGCTTGCGTCCACGCTGTTTAAAGTCACCATCCAATGCCATGTAACGAATCTCTAGAATATAATCACAAACAAAGCTTATTCCATTTCAGATGTCTGTAGTTTAATCCCCCACGTCGAGTTCGACAAACGTGATGTCGAGATTTGAACGGATTGCGGGTTTCATGAATTACGTTTTATGTCTTCGAACTTCAGAAATACCCTACTACTATTCTTGAATAGAAGTAGTACCACAATATTAGTAAATACCTCGATAAAGCATGTGGTGTTGCGTTCACTATTGTAATCGCGTGATACGATATCAATTTAAAGTTAAAAGAGGTCTTTCGCCCTTTGGTGTTGTAAACGTGATCTTATCATCAAGAATGGACAAAGTTCCACCGATTACGCCCACACAACTATCAATGAAGCCATCAATGATTTTAATAGCGATGAAATTGTTTCTTGTTAGCGCAGAGTGGCAGTGACGATAGTGTCAGTTTTCTAGAGTAGAAGCCAT